CAGCGATAAATGTTATCTGTTTCTGCGTGTGAGGTGAATTCTTCCCCTGAAATTTTGCAAATGTTCGCTGTCAAACCTGCACCTTATCGTTGTTCTAAGTTCTCTGCTCAGATTTCTAACTACATTTAATATCTTCAACTATGAACACACGTTTGTTCTGTTTGAATCAATCGATTTTAAGGTATTTGCTTGTCGATTGCGACATAAATTTCTTAACTAATTAACGTGGCTGCCGTACTGTTCTTTTGTGTTTTGACTTATACGTAAGTCGTTTTTGGATCTTATTCAGCGTTAGGTGCACTACTAGTTATCCAGTCCTAGAACGGACTAAACGCCAGCAGCGACCTTTGATACCATACTCAACTTTTAATTGATTTTAAATTCCTTCAAACATTAAATTCCTTACTTTTTCTTTCTATATAAGTATATACTTAATACAATGTGTCTTTTCTTACAGGTTTGCCAAACATCAAACAAATATGCTGGTCTTAATGACGAGGTATCGGAATAAACGCCTTAAATTATACTTTTTCGTATATGATGAACATTTTATAATTTAAAGTAATAAAACGCATTTATGGATGTATGTTTTTTTCGTTATTATTTTTAAATAATATTAATTTTAGCCCTATTAAAGGAGTATCAGCCGAATTTTTACCTTTCTGAACTTTGATTTTCTCTATACGCAACATGAAAATTTGCGCGTCGAATGAATTGATGACAGGTGACTTAAAAGGTTACTAACTAAAAATCCGAACACAGGATATATTATATTGTCCTTGCCAAACAAACTAACAAATGCTCTATGTGTGTCATAATAAATATAAAATGTTCAGGATTAGAAATTTGCCGGAATTATGCGTGAAAACGAGTCAATATACAAGTATTTACAATCTGAACAGGCATTCTACCAATCATAATTTTGTATTCCCTCGCATCAGGTGGGTCAGAGTATATTTGGTTACCTATTGGTTTTTTGTAACGCCTAAAATTAATAGTGATAGAAATGGACACAAACTGTCGACAATCCTCTCCATTAACTTTATCTTCAGGATACCAGACCACTGTAGTATTTTCATTCAAACAGGTGTGCACTCAATCCCACAGCAGGACGGCAATTCTGGCCTGGTTGACAGCGCACTCAAGGTTAGTCAAGGGTGTCTGATCTCCCTAGCAATATCATTAAGTTGATTCGATATCAGATTGGCTTGGGTGCCTGGTCATAGCGGAACTGCTGGAAACTGTAATGTCCTCAGAAAAAAGGCACTCTTATCCCAATCTAATCAGACTGGGTCGGTGTTTCGCTGGTCTTGTTTGTCTATTGAATTATTAGCTCTTAGCGAGGTTTATCTCATCGCAATCACAGGAGTTCTCACTGGATACTGTATTAGGTCTCAGTCAGTACGTCTTCCAGTATCCAACTTTTATTAATCTCTCTAATCAGGCCTTCTACAAACCAGACACAGTGGTTGGAATAATATTTGTCGTCTCAACAAATGCGCTTTATTGATATGCGGCAGTCTTTTGATCACAACAAACCGGCGTTTCTATCAGGCTTTTCAATAGGCATGATATTTATATATATATATATGATATACGATTTCTAAATGTCATTTCGGCCATTTTTAATACGTCATGATCTTTAATTTTTCTTTCATTGTATTCAATAATGTTAACAATATCATCGTGGAAAGATATACACAAAAACAAGGTTTACATATTATTCACTTTTATTAGTGCTGCGGTAAATCAACAATACTGTCGATTCTGTTACGAAGAAAATCCACAAATTATTTATGAACAACCATTACATTCACCTAAATTGACAGTTTGGTGTGGTTTTTGGTCTGGTGGAATCATCGGTCCGTACTTTCGAAATTAAGCTGGTGACACCGTTACTGTCAATGGAGAGCGGTACAGATCGATGATAATCAACTTTTTATGGCCGCACTTGGAAGAAGTTGATCTTGACAATATCTGGTTCCAGCAAGATAGGGTTACGTGCCACACAGCACGTGCAACAACCGAATTATTGGGAGAAAAGTTTGGAAATTCGATTATTTCAAAAAATTGTGAAATTGCATTGAATGTCGTCCAAGAAGTTGTGATTTAACACCATTAGACTATTTCTTGTGGGGTTATTTGAAGTCATTGATAATTAAAAAAAGGAAAAACGTTAAGAATTAAAAAAGTATTCTGTTTTGCGAATTACTGTTAATTAAATTTAAATGTAAAATTTGTATATTTACTAATTCTAAATAATACAGATCAAAAATAACAGGCTCGTACAGCCAATAACTTACAATAATAAAAAAGAACCACTATTCACCATCTAACGGGTTACCTAAATAAGGACACCTAACCAGAATAAAATAAAATCATTGCAAATATCTAACAAAATATGCCAAACTATCCCATAAGACTTGGTGTGTTAAACGCACCCACTGTAGGCAATACTCAACCATCCCATCCTATTCCTAATCCTAACGAAATGAATCTAGAACAATTGAAAAATATTATAAGTGGCGTAGTCACAAATATTTTAAGACAATAGAGACGAAACCTAGTTCAGGCCGCCCTTAATCCGAACGCAAACTTTTCAAACACCATAGACCTCAAGTTAACAAACAAAATTAACGAGCTAGACAAAATCCCTGATGTGGTAAGATGCCTTCGCGAATTTTTCGGAAATCCAAGGGAATCCAATTCGAAGAAAGAAGAGCGTAGACCGAATACTAGAAGTATACGAACCTTGAAGAGGATCGCCAAAATACTATGATATCCTTAACGTTATAAGAAACAAAATCGTGGGCAACGCAGACATTGCTCTCGAATCATATAACGCACCTTTAGAGTTGAAGGCTATTTCGAAATGGTAGAAAAGTAATGAAGTCATTTGTGCTCTAAGGTACCTATTATCCGCGTAATGTTGAGTAAGGCATTTCGAAAACGCCTTCCACTCTAAAGGATATATACATACCTATTTGCATATTACATACAAAAAAGAGATAACAAAATTCAAATATCTGAATTAATCGTATACCAAAAACCGAGCGCTCTTGCAACCCTGACAAGAATTTCAAAATGAAAAGGAATGTAGAAATGGGTAGCAGTCAGCTGTTACGAACAAGAACCCAAAGCGTGCCACCCGAGCAGGAGCGGTACGGTCCATTCGTCTTTCCTCGTCGTCCCCTCGCCCACAATAAACCGGCTTAGGCTACAAAAGGAATCGTGTATGAACTGGCACTAAGTAAAACAAAAACTCATGACAAGCCGACATGTACGATGTTCCGGTGGAGCTATAAATTTGCTCTTTATTTATATTGTATATTCTTTTTGTCCTTTAGAGTCTGAAGAGCTAAAGTTTAGAGTTTTGAGCTTTGGTTCTTGGGAACTATAAACATTTTTGTTGTTTTATGTATGGTAAACGCATTTTTAAATTGTATTATTCGTTTTAGAATATTTTTAGCACATACATACTTATATCGATCAAATGTTTTGTTAAAATGACAGATAAAATATATGATAATAAAACATTCACACATTCATTTACCATATATGCATGTACATACATATACTATGTATTTAAGCCCAACTGTATACGTCGAAAGGAGCCAGCATACATTTTCATAGAAGTTTCGAGAAGTTGTGAAATACTTATGTAGCTGTTATTTCGTGCGATAAACCAAAAGGGTTGAGTGCTTCTGTGCAATAACAATTTTTGTTTATTAAAAATAAATAAATAACGAAGGAGTTTTCAAATATAATATACGTAAGTTATTAAGTTTACAATAAAATTATATTTTAGTTAGTTTTTATTTTAATTTAGGCAATTTTAAATTTCGAAATATTCATGAAAATTTATTTTCATAATTTATTATTCAATTATATTTTTGTTACACTCTTGTTTATATTTATGTATATTATTATAACTAATTTTAATTAAAAGTTTTGAATTTATTAAATAAAAATTATATTATCTACTGCGCAAAAGAATTTTTTACTTGTGATAGATTTACAGTCATAACTGACAATTTTCAGCTATGATGAATTTATGGTAATCGAAATTATGCCACAATAATCCAGCCAATTGGTATAGACACGTTGAGAGGAAGACAGAAAAAGAATACAATGTTAATTATTTAGTAGTGATAAAGAAAACACAGTTTGGCTAAGGGCTTAAACTTAAGACAAAATATTTGGGGTTTCATTAAAGGAACGACTTACACATGGAAGATGCGCTGTGGAAAAAATAGGTTGACGGACCGGGGCAAACTAGGACGGTATGATAGGTCAGGACGACAGAGTGTGAGAGGATTGCGAACAACACAATCCGGACAGACCTATGGCATGCGACCCTACAGACTGGAAACTGACGCGACGCTTTGGACGGAAAAACGGGACGATTACTGACGAACGAGAACTTACAGCTGCAAGTCGTATGTAATAAAGGGCAGACGTGCCTTTATACAAAGTTAAGAGCGTGTTTCATTTTTAAATAAGGAAATTCTGCGTTAATACTGTACTTTTCAAAAATCATGTCCATGTACTGTTAAGCTCAAAAGGTTAGTGAGTGGCGGGCTCAAGTGTCTTCAGTAATATTTCACCGGACGAAGTGATTGCATTATGTTAAACCACTCTTCCTCTTATCCACATATCGCTCGCTTCTTCAGAAGCAAGAATGCATGACCATCGAGCAGAGATGTTGCAAGCCCCATTTCCACCCATTGTGGCAGTTTATGGTGATTTGCCAGAACCCTTAAATTGAGAAAAAATTATCTACTTATTAGCATAAGATATAGCCGATAGTTGACTTGCAGGGGACTACCAACCCTCTAGCCAGCCCCTGTTTATGTGTATGTTTAACTATTTTCTCTTATTACAGTATACAAAAATACCTAATTCAGGGTTCAGAAATAGTGGTTTCAATATTAGAAATTCGTTTTTTTATATAGGTAAAAAGACCTATTTTCCTAATGCGAACTCACTCAAGCATTGAACTTATTTCGATCTCAATTTATTTGATATTATCATTGGAACATTACAGATGTCAATTGAAACATAACATTTAAATATAACGTCATACTTCCTGATTTTTATTATTTCCTAAATGTTATGGTTTGTTGAAACGTATTAAAATAAATTTACACCGTTATTCATATTCATAAGCATGATACATGAACACGTTTTCACTGGTATTGCGACTGATGTTGGTGGGTCTGCCCAAAACCTAAAGATTGTGTAGCATCGCCTAGTGCTATGGGGTCATCAACTGGAGGCGTAGGATTCCGAAACTGCTCTGCAGAAAGACGGGTGAATAAAATTCCAACTCCTTCAATTAAAGCCAGCAACACTCCACCAATTATAGCACTTCCAGCCATTGCAGGTATACCTAAAAATAAGAAGAACACGAAAATGATGGGTAAATACAATATGTGTTTATTTTTGACTAACAATCGCGTCAGCTGCTTTTCCCGGTCTCACGTTCTTCTAGCTGGAGACGCAGAGCGGATCTATTATAAATGATTCTTTAATGTGTAGTGGACAGTAGCGAATTATTTGTATATAATGACAACTGAGTATTAACTATTTGATCCTTTAAGGAGTTGTCTAACTTCGCGCTCAATTTTCAGACCTATTTTTGATGATGGATTGCAATAAGCGATATTTGCTATTTGCTAATTTTTCTATTTCATTAATTAATTTATAAACTTGGATCTAAAAAATAACAACTTTTTCTAAACTATGCCCTTGATGCGTGCTCGAATGCATCACTCTCGATATACGAAAAATATGACACAAAGCTTTCCACGCTTTTTTCACAATAATACAATATTTATTTTGTCAATTTACTGTCAGTTTATATTAACAATTACTTTTCACTTTTTAGTTTAATGTGCTTTTTATAACGCTTTTATTAGCATGACCTACATGTGTGTAGGTGGGACTGTAACAAAACAATCAACAGTTTGATAAAACACATGCTTTTTACATTAGACTAAAAAGTGAAAAATAAATATAATAAAAAAAAAACACAAAACCACGCTTTTAATGCACCTCAAACGTAAAAGTGAAAAATAATATTTAATTCTCACAAAACGTTGCAAAAAACGAACTGCGATGCTAGAAAACCCCCTTAAAGCGAATTTGTTAAATACGACCACAAAATTGGATAAAAAAAATCAAAGGTTGACTTATTGTATATTTGTATAACACCTCGATAATTTGTGTTCTTTTCACAAATAAGTCACGTCAGCAGAGTACAAGCAATAAAAACTGTAAAATAATGAATAAAGAATAAAATAGAAAAAAACTCGAACAGTCCGATCTCAAGCAGTTGATTGGTTTATTTTCCAATCGGCTATATTCTGGGAAAGTCAATGATGAACACAACAAATAGTAGATCAATGCTATTTTGTTGATCTAGGCTATGTTTTTTGTATTTCTAAATTTTTAATTTAGTTTTATGTATACAAATAATTTTTACACATAATTTTAAATAATCATACTGTAATAGTCACAATCAACCTTTAGTTCGAACTTTCAATGTGGAATCAGATATTAGTTAAAGTTTTTATATATAAAGTTGTTCTAAGACCATAAGAATAATTACCATTTCTTGCAGCTAAAATTCCACCTGTTGTAAATCCACTTATAATTGAATTCCATGGATCTTCCTTTTTCCGAAAATGCACCAATGTGCAGTCAATAGTGCTAAACATTCCTCCCCAAACTGCAAAATTTCCTGCAATCACTGGAGAGCGGAGCTTGACAGCAGTTAAACTTCCAACCTAAATAAAACATATTAAGGTATTATATTCATATTGTCACCTTAAATTCAAAATAACGTAACATCACTTTTAACAAGCACGTGTGCAAAATTTCAGATCCGATTGGCCCTATTTCTGTTGTTGTCGTTTCAAAACGAAATATGCTACAATATATTTGAATACTCTGGTCATAATAAAAACATCTTTTTAATTTTGAACGTCGGCTTAAAGGGTTAAAATATCAATGCCATTATATTATCGTTCTATTATAGTTGTCGTTATGCTTGCGTTGTATACTGAAACAGGATAGTCATTTGCGGAAAGCTACAAAAACCAGTATACTAGCATAATGTAGATAACAACCCTGAGTTTAGATTTTTACAAAGCATTGTTCAAAAGATTTAACAGCATTGTTCAGATTTTTTAAAGAAACCGTAACATGAACCCAAAGAAATGGAAGTACCTTCCGTTCACACAATTTAAAATGGTTATGTTTAGTAGAATTAAGTTAAGTTTAACGTTCGTCGTGAAACTACTAGATTTCAATGCGTTGACTAAGCTTTTCAAATTAATTAATCTAAGCAAATTTCATGTGTAAAATTATTTACTAACTATAAATTAATAAGAATCAGAGAACTGCATGAGTGCCAAATTTTCTAACTAAATTAGACTTGCATAGTTGTTGTTGTTGTTGTAGCGGCAAAATTCTGCCGAGTTGACATTCCTTGACCAGATAAAATCCGGGTCCGTTCTGGTTACATATACCCGACTATCGTGGGAACTTGCATAGTATTTGCTGTTATTTGGTAGAGCACCTGAAGTCTTACAACCTCTTAAATCCGAGGAGACATAACGATCGGGTTTAAATTCCGATTTCGTGATCATTTTTAATCAGACCCGAAAAAGAGCGCGACCTGATTTAGCCGACAATTTGTATTTGTTCAAGGTATCATTAATAAGGCTAAACGTCTAAATCCACTGGCCCGGACGGCATAAACATATTGATGCTCAAATACCTACCCTCAACGGAAGTTAACTATCTCACCAAAGTCCTCGATTTGTCTCTGACCAGAAGCTGTTAGGAGATAGAATAAGAGGATATAATAAAACATATTCTATGCGAATGCAAGGCTTTGTAGGCAAATAATCGCAACTGTCGGTCGAGGGTTTCTTGACGACGTGTCGGAGATTATACAGATACAATTATTTGTACTGATTAAATTCATTAGAAGCACCGAGTTGTTTAGAGAGGAGACAATAGGGTGAAGGGATTTTAGTCGCGGTGGTATCACAATGGGCCTCATAAAGGCCTAGGTGCGTCGTCAGACAACCACTATACCTACCCTACCCTACCTAGCCCCACTACCGAAATCTAAGAAACCTACTAACTTAGGGGAGTTTTATCGCTCGATAACTCCCCATTCCCCAGTAGCGAAGATACATCAGGACACATATCACCACCGCAGATAGTTACGCCCGGATGGTTCGTGGCCTCAATCAAAACTTGGACTTGTCAAGAGCATTTGGCACTGTCATTCAAACAACGCTACACGAAGATATTGAACAGTCCACGTTTCCTTTAGGACTCAAAATATGGACAAGGAGTTATTTGAGCGAACGTCAATCATCCTTATTATTTCGAGGTCACAATTCTAAGCTAATCAGAAATAAACTGGAGGTTTCACAGGGTGGTGTCCTCTCCCCGCTCATACGCTGATGATTGCACAATATATATAACTTTGTTTTTAAAAAAAAATCTGTTGTAAGAGTAGCAACAATCATCATACATAATTTTTGAATGCGTAAGAAAGAGACGCACATATAGCTATGCCGGCAATATTTGGAAAAAACAAAATTTTAAAGTAAGCACGTTTTCTGATATGCTTGTTAATCTTGTATTATTTATTTAAATACACAGACGCCAATCTTTCTTTACTTTTTGATGTTGAAATTTAGTTCGTTTTTGTGGCACCAGGTCAATAGTTTGTCGATATCACTCTGGAGATCAGTCTAGTTCACTGGTTATCGTTCTGAAGATCTTCAAATCGTCTGCATAATGCAGATATTCATACTGAAAGGTATCAACAATATCGTTTACAAAAATATTTAAGAGAATTGGAAAGGAGGGTGGTCCTTGGGGCACTTCTGAGGTCTCATTGTGCTTTGTAGATAGATGCTTATCAACTTTAACTTGAAATTGCCTTCCAATTAGGCATGAGTGGATCGAACTCAGTGCATTACCTTTAATGCCTTATCTGCTTAGCTTATTAAGTAGGATA